GGGTGATGAGTGTATATCGATAAATCTATGTGATGAATAGCTCAGGGTCTTGATGCGGGTGATGAGTGTATATCGATAAATCTATGTGATGAATAGCTCAGGGTCTTGATGCGGGTGATGAGTGTATATCGATAAATCTATGCGAGTAATAAATGTATATAAAAGTACTTTTTTGATGGTTGCAGGCGTGTTCCAGCAGCTCATCGTGGCGGGAGGCAACGACGAAGATATGCTGGCTCTCCTGGACATCCTCAACTCGAGAGCCCTCGACAGCTGCTATGCTGACGGTGCTGCCTCTTACTCTGCTGCTGACGAAGGTGGAGTATCCCCTGGTGCTGATAACGAAGGAGCTAGCGGTGGTGCCACCTCTCCTGATGCTGACGCTGCTGGGGCAGAAGCCAGCAGAAGAAACACATCCATGACCCACGATGAGCTCATCCAGCTCAAAGTTGACGTTCTCAGGGTGCGTGGGGTTACTCTTAATCTCGCGAAATTCTAATCAATTATCGCTTAAGATTAATTATATATGTTAGTGCCATATAACTACATAAAAGCCATTATGGAAAACGCATGTTTAATGTATTGGAAAGCATTTAAATAGGAATGTAAATTAATATAATCAATTGAAGCATTTCAATAGAGTATCTCACGTGGTTTCAGTCGCTGGTGACGTGCCTACGGGACTCGCACCGCAGCCGCGCCGTCTTCAGGAAGGTTGGGGGCTTCGTGCGGGCGCTGAGTGTCGTCGTGGGCATGCGGGACGCTTTCAAGGACTTGCCCCCGCCCCCCTTCACGTCCACGCCCCCCCAGCTCCTGCTCGCCCTCATAGGAGGCGTCTTCTCGTGTCTCACCACCGCCATGCGATACGAGCCCGCCAACGCAAAGTTCTTTCATGCCGAGGTTCGACTTTTCTTTATTCTGAAATATTTCGATTGATAAGGAATATGAAATATTATTTTCCACCGGAGTCCACAAATGTTTTGTTATTAAAAATCTAGATAATATTACCAGCTACCACGTTTTTCTTAGTTTCGTTTCGACTCTGTCTGTCTGTCATCAAAAATTCAAACCTTAATTTAGAGCACTTCTGTCTTCTGAAGATCGTAGGAACTTGAAATTTGGCATGCATCCATATGCTGCCTAACAATTCAAGATTTGATCATCAGATGTAATAATTAAGAAAAATTTTAATAAAAAAAAAAACATTTGAAAAAAAACTTGAAAATTCACGGTTGGGAATCGAATTTTTTAGTCGAACATCCAGAATTGCCAACCCTGGAAAATGATTTGAATTGCTAAAATTGCTGAACTAAAAGGTAGAAAATAAAATAAATAAATAAACTTTTAAAAACCACGTTTTCTTAACGGTCAAAAAAGAAAAACGTTAACTTTTACATAACATTACATAACATTCTACATAACATTAATGCTATGTAAGAGTTAATGTTTTTCTTATTTGTCCAATAAGAAAACGTGGTTTTTAAAAGTTTATTTATTTATTTCATTTTGTTATTCTATTGTATGACTCTATTCTGTCCGAGGTTGCGCTGAAGACATTGAACTCATTATATTAAGCTCTACCTGAGGATCGGGTTACGTTGACTAAGGTAGCGAGGGATAAGTAAGACACATAAGTCCAGGGGCCGGATTATCAAAACTTCGTAACTTTTTGTACTTATGACAAAAAAGTTATGTGGTACGTAAAAACACCCTAATTTTGGCATTATCAAAATTTTCGTACGCAGGTCTTAGCTAAAAGCGTAAATGTTTTTCCCGCGCAAATGTTTCCCGCTCAAATGTTTTGATAATACCACCGCTAGTATAACGTTGTCATAGCAACGCCACTCGTAAGTCGATTTTCCGTACTTACGAAGTTTTGATAATACGGCCTCTGATAACGTATCTTGTATACGGGGTGGTAATACAGAGTTGCGATACAGAGGTATAGGCTACGGCATCGACCGTAAGGTCGGAGAACTCACGCTACACGCTACATCGCGGAGTGCTCATCAGCTACTGGGGGCTTTGCTTAAGGTTGCTAGACCTTTTATAACGTTCGCTTCCGCCCACTACTGAGGTCTTGATCGCGTGATCTATCACGTGTCTATCAGATGTTGACTCGTATTAGGGCCTGAATAGACTTTTTCATGCTCGCGTATTGTAATGAATATGAATTGAAATGAGCAATTGTCACTTAATCTGTACAAATTTTATGGCTGTTAAACTTATCGTTTGCCCAAATGTCATCAGAGGTCTGTCATTTGCTATTTATTGTATTTACATTATTATTATATTATTATTCTATGCTACGAATAACTTCTCCAATATAATTTGGCTGCTAAACTTTACTAAACAATTCATTAGATTTACATTAATAATAAAGTATTATTCTATGCTACGAATAACGTCCCCAATATAATTTGGCTGCTAAACTTATCGTTTGCCCAAATGTCTTCAGAGGTCCGTCGTCGAGCGCCCACACGCCCCTGCAGCAGGCGGCGCCCTTCGTCGAGTTCGACATGAGCGCCGAGGGCTTCGGGTGTCTCTTCCTGCCCTCACTGGCGCCCCACAGCGCCCCTACTGGCGGGGCCATGGGGGGCGCTGGGGCTGCGGCCGCTGTAGTGGGCGCGGGGCTCACAGGCCCCACTGGGGACCACAGCGTCACGGGGGGCATTGGGACGGGTTAGTCAGCGGGACAGAACTTGGCACGTGACAGAACTTAGCGGGACAGAACTTAGCGGGACAGAACTTAGCGGGACAGAACTTAGCGGGACAGAACTTAGCGGGACGGAACTTAGCGGGACAGAACTTAGCGGGACAGAACTTGGCGGGACAGAACTTAGCAGGACGGAACTTAGCATGTGACAGAACTTAGCGGGACAGAACTTAGCACGTGACAGAACTTAGCGGGACAGAACTTTGCAGGACAGAACTTAGCGGGACAGAACTTAGCGGGACAGAACTTAGCGGGACAGAACTTGGCGGGACAGAACTTAGCGGGACGGAACTTAGCGGGACAGAACTTAGCGGGACAGAACTTAGCGGGACAGAACTTAGCGGGACAGAACTTAGCGGGACAGAACTTNTGACGTGTTGTTGTTATGACGTGTTGTTGTTATGACGTGTTGTTGTTATGACGTGTTGTTGTTATGACGTGTTGTTGTTATGACGTGTTGTTGTTATGACGTGTTGTTGTTATGACGTGTTGTTGTTATGACGTGTTGTTGTTATGACGTGTTGTTGTTATGACGTGTTGTTGTTATGACGTGTTGTTGTTATGACGTGTTGTTGTTATGACGTGTTGTTGTTATGACGTGTTGTTGTTATGACGTGTTGTTGTTATGACGTGTTGTTGTTATGACGTGTTGTTGTTGTGACGTGTTGTTGTTATGACGTGTTGTTGTTATGACGTGTTGTTGTTATGACGTGTTGTTGTTATGACGTGTTGTTATGACGTGTTGTTATGGTAGCGCTAGTGGTACCATCATCATTTGATGACAGAGTTTTGTATTCATACTGGTCATATATGAGCGAGTTTTATGTCCCACTTATTACAACATATGGTATCATTGTTTATTATCATAGTTGTGTTGTAAACATGTTTACGGTGCCCACAGGGGACCGGCCGTTCCCCCCGCAGTCCGGTCTGAGCTACAGCACCTGGTTCACGGTGGAGCGCTACAGCGACCCAAGAAGCGACCCTCACAGCGTACGGCTGCTGACGGTGGTGAGAAGCATACCAGGGTCCAGTGCACAGCTGCTGTGTCTCGTGGTGTGGCTCTCTGCCAGAGACAAGGCCCTTATTGTGTCTACACAAGAGACGCCTCTGCCTTCTCAGTCACAAGGTTTGGTATATTTCCATCATTGATTTTAAATAATCGTGGCTGACGCACCAGCATGGCCCTGGGCCTATACTTTCAAAAAAGTTAATAGATCGTAAGTTCATCAGCCAATCGTTGATAGTCATTCAAGCAATATCCACCAATCGTAGACAAGAAAATAGAGCGTAGGTACTTACGATCACTTGGCGAGTTTTGAAATATGGCCCCAGGGCAGGATCGTCCTCACTTTGGGGAATCAATGGGGCAATCAGTGCAAATAGTGGCACTGCGCGTGGCACTGATGCACTCTTTTGTGTCGCCATACTGAGCCAGGAGGACCCGCAAAAGGGCAGAAAGTTCATCGTTATTTCTACAAAGTCAGTCATTTTGTGCGTGCGCTCTACCGGCGTGAACTGACCAGAGCAACGAGGCAATGGGGGACGAGGCAATGCAAATTCTAATGAAAATCTCAAATTTAAAATAGCTGTAAAATAGTTCCGCACTTAACATTTTCTTTTAATATTTGTAAAGATTAAGTCAGACAAAGCCTCCGTACAGCAATATTATAGTAAGCTGAACATTGTTCAAGTTCTCTTCGATCAGTCATCTCACTAAGGTTGTTTCCTGCTCAAATTCTTGTTATACTTATTAAGATAAGCGATTATATTCTGAACTTATTTCAGCCGTCCTATAAGCGACTGTTATTTATTATAAAAATGAAGAATCATTGTTGTGTCGCTCTCTAGTTATTCTATTTCTCTTGCCTCAGTACGGCTGATGCTCTGCCTGCTGGAGTTATGAGCCAGTATAGAAACCGTCATTAAAATTTCCATGGAACTTTTTCGTGTAGTGCATTGTATTGTTGTTCGGTTTGCTTGACGTTGCTTGTGTTGAACCGAGGCTGAATGTATACATGATTTCTATGATCTGGTGTCTGAAGCTTTATTGTGGATCCTATGCATCTTCGCAGCTAAGATGAATTCAAATCGTTTGGAGCCTTACACTCCTTTGCTCGTAGCGGCCTAATAACACATATAGTGCATAGTGTTCTGTGAACACGTAATGAGAGCACGTTGTGTAGGAACATGATGCGTGAGAACACGTTGTGTGAGAACACGTTGCGTGAGAACACGTTGCGTGAGAACAGGTTGCGTGAGAACAGGTTGCGTGAGAACACGTTGCGTGAGAACACATTGCGTGAGAACACGTTGTGTACGAACACGTTGCGTGAGAACACGTTGTGTGAGAACACGTTGCGTGAGAACACGTTGCGTGAGAACACGTTGCGTGAGAACACGTTGCGTGAGAACACGTTGCGTGAGAACACGTTGTGTAAGAACACGTTGTGTAAGAACACGTTGCGTGAGAACACGTTGCGTGAGAACACGTTGCGTGAGAACACGTTGCGTGAGAACACATTTCGGTTGCGGCCGATTTCATGCTTGTTGTTGGTGGGATTAACCTGGAAAGCTCTCAGTAATTTGCTGACGGAATCACAAAGTCGTAAAATTTGTAATGTTTGGCTGTGGATATATTGGTATGCCTTGATAATTAAACACATTATAATAATATTTGATTTAATTTTTTAATATTTTTTTTTTGTAATAATATATGTTAATTTTTTCGTTGTAGCACTTCAAGAAATAGAGCCGAGCCTTGCCCCTGACACTGGGTGCCGCGTGTGGTGCCCTGACTTGCTGACTGAAGGCCACTGGCACCACCTCGTCGTGGTCCTCAACAGGACCATCCTCAAGACCTCCTCCCTCACCGTCTACCTGGACGGCAAGAGTGTGCACACGCAGAGGGTAAGTGGGGGCTAATGAGGGCTAACAGAGGTACTAATTAGAGGGTAAGTAGCAGAGGATAAGTTGGGGTCTCATCAGAGGGTAAGTTGGGGTCTCATTAGAGGATAAGTTGGGGTCTCATCAGAGGGTAAGTTGGGGTCTCATTAGAGTGTAAGTTGGGGTCTCATTAGAGGGTAAGTTGGGGTATCATTTGAGGGTAAGTTGGGGTCTCATTAGAGGGTAAGTTGGGGTCTCATTAGAGGGTAAGTTGGGGTCTCATTAGAGGGGAAGGTTGGGGTCTCGTTTGAGGGTAAGTTGGGGTCTCATTAGAGTGTAAGTTGGGGTCTCATTAGAGGGGAAGGTTGGGGTCTCGTTTGAGGGTAAGTTGGGGTCTCATTAGAGTGTAAGTTGGGGTCTCATTAGAGTGTAAGTATAGGTCTAATTAAGGGTCTTTAATTAGAGAATGAGTTAGAGCACATTTCTGCCTACGGTTTATGTCATCGCCAAGCATATAATCCCTGATATTCTTTTAATAATCGTCCTCGTTAACCTTTATTTCTTTAAACAGGGTTCAAACCTTTCACTTTTTTTCATAATTCTCCCAAATACGATATGATGCTCAACGAGAACTTGGAGCATTGGTCAATTCAGTAACCGAGTTCGCGTTCATTGCGAGAACTTATTCGGAAAGTTGAGGTTTTATTTTTATTTTTTTTATACATGGAGGCGGAGTCGAACAAGTTTGTGCACTATGATGTGCAATGTGATGTACAATGTGATGGTCACTGTGATGTGCAATGTGATGTACAATGTGATGGTCACTGTGATGTGCACTGTCATGCACAATGTGATGGTCACTGTGATGTACAATGTGATGTGCACTGTCATGTACAATATCGTGTACAATGTGATGTGCAATGCGATGGGCACTGTGATGTACAATGTAATGTGCACTGTGATGTACAATATGATGTACCATGTGATGTACAATGTAATGTGCACTGTGATGTACAATATGATGTACCATGCGATGTGCACTATGATGTACAATAAGACGCACCAGATGCTCATGACTCCATGGTCACAGTTGCAGTACATCGCCCTGATGCCCGGGGGCGCGCCAGCAAACCTCAACGTCGCGGCCAACGTCTACGCCTACATCGGCTCTGCGCCCCCCTACCGCCGCCTCTCCAGGTGCGGGGGGAAGTTCCGCTCTTACAGATCAATGAATTGCACTCTTTGATATTTGTTGCATTCAATTTTGTTATTTGTAATATTCATGTATTTAATGTACAGGGGCTGGACAAAATGAAAGGATCTTATGGAACTTTAACGCATTCTAGTCTTTGATATTTGTTGTACTTAAATTTGTTATTTGTAATATTCATGTATTCAATGTACAGGGGTTGGACAAAATAATGGGAATACCTGACATTTTGGTATTGTGATTTCTGAACATGTTATTAACAATGAAAACGTGACATGTTTTTATGTTTTGTTGGTTATTGTTGCTGCTAATTGATATTTTATTCCTGCACAGATATTTTTAGTAAATTTCTGTTTATATAACCTAACTTATAACCTATAAATCGCAAACATCTCTGATATTCTAAGAGACCAAATTGTTGGTGCCCATATGGCAGGTGCTAGTGTGGCAAAAACTTCCCGAATGCTTGACGTTTCTAGAGGTACTGTCTCACAAGTAATGACTGCTTTTGAAGGAGAAAAAAAGTCTTCAGCCTAGCATTGGTCTGACCGAAAGTCGAAGTTGTCTGAGAGTGACCGTCAGTACCTAAATCGAATTGTGATAGACAATCTAAAGACCGCGGCAGTTACAATTACTGCAGACCTTAATGGACATCTACAGAACCCTGTTTCCATAAAGACCGTCTGCTGAGAGCTGCACAGGTTTCAGGTATAACTGCTTCAATGCGTCTTGAGTGGCGTTAAAACCTTTCTCGAGCAGTCTAAAAATTGTCTCGACCTCGAGACTTAGAATAGATATCGAGCCTTACTAATCAACGTTTACGTTATTTCCAACCTCTGGCCGAGTTTTCGTTTGGAGGCAGCCAAAATGGCCATTTAATCCCGACTGCCTCCACCCAACCGTATAACATGGCGGGGGATCTGTGATGACCTGAGGTGCTTTTTCTTGGAAATCTGGCGGACCAATGATTTCTCTTTATGGAAGAATCAACAGCTGTTGCTATATGGGAATTTTGGAGGACCAAATTCATCCAGTAGTTCAAGCACTGTTTCCGGAGGGAAAGGCCTTCTTTCAAGATGACAATGCCCCGATTGATACAGCTGAAAAGCCTGAAATTGTTAGAAAATGGCACGAGGAACGTTCTTTTTGAAGTTGAACATCTCATTTGGCCACCACAATCACCAGGCCTGAAAATTAACGTGTATTTATGGTCGATTTTTGAGATGCAAGTCAGAAGTTGATTCCTGCCGCCATCTTATTCAAAAGAGCTAAAGGGACTTAATTTTTGACTGGAGAATGGGTTGAAATTACTTTGTAAACAATTTATAATTTGTATGAATCAATACCTCCGAGAATTGAGGCTGTAGTTACCGGGTAGACCTTCGCCATACCAAAATTTATTTTGTATATTTCTCAGGTGTTTCCCTTATTTTGCCTCACCCCTGTATGTGTTATTTATTGCTGTGTGGCAGGCTGGTGTGGCGGCAGGGCGTCTGCCACCTTCTGGAGGAGGTGCTCTCCCCCGCCGCCGTGGGGCTGCTCCACCAGCTCGGTCCCCACTACACGGGGAGCCTGCAAGCCCCCCAGCTGCCTGGTAGGCTGTTCTAATTAATATCTATATTGCATATATATAATAAACTACTTGATGTCATACGTTGATTTTCTGATAAATGGCAGGGGCAACGGTACTGTATGTATGCCTCCTACCATCAGACTTGTCTTAATTTAATATACATTTAAAACTATATAATTCAAGACATTGTTTGTGATATTTCCTCATAAATGTCACGAAGAACTGCAAGGCAAAATGCATGGGTTATAATATCCAGATACTGACATGTACTTTTTGCACATAGAAGCGATACGCCTATTTGCCGGCTAAATTAGGTCTAGATGACCTAATTTAAATTGTGTCTACATGACGCACACCGAGGCAAGAAATGGATCGATATTTGGACAAAGTGTGACTTATTTCTGTGCGTGCAGGGTGCGAGGCGGGGGCGGCGCTGGTGCTGGAGGAGAAGGTGGTGCTGGGGCTGAACGCCGCGGCGCTGTCGCACTTCACCCTCAGCAAGATACGCAAGTTCTACTCCAAAGTGGACAGCAAGGCCATCGCCAAGCAGGTGAACCTTATCGAAATTATGGTAGGCCTTTTCTTTACAGTTTGCTCCACTCTTTGTGCATTGTCGCCAAGCAGGTCAATTCACATCTATAATATTATATTTATATACATGCCTTTAATGGTTTTGTAGTGATGTCATCGAATTATTTTTTAAATAAATGGAAAACCTGAACTTTGCTTCTAGCGAGAAATTAAATTCAGGTCATTTCACGTCTATATTATATAATATGTATATTTGATGACTCTGTTTATGAGTGTAATGTTGTGCGATTTTATCTTGTGATGTGATATGTTGTGTGTTGTCTTGTCTTTCCCTCATAAATGACACGGACAATTGTGATGATTTATAGTAGATAAGTCTACTTATTATTCCAATATGGCTTCATTCTTGACACATCATTGCTTGCTGTGCCCCACTAACGCCCCCCGTCACATCACAGCTGGGGATGTCATCACACGAGAACGCCACCCCCATCAGGGTGGTGCACAACAGCGCCGGCCACCTCACCGGGCCCGCCCGCACCATGGGTGAGACTTGCACCACTTAAACTGCATATTTATTATTCCTATTTATTGCTGATGCTTTTCTCTGAAATTAGTTTAACCTTATCATTATGCATCACTTACCTGCATATAAGTAATAAAGTCACTTGTTTGCTTTAATCGCAAATTCACTAAAAACTTAAAAGCAAAGAAAACTCTACAAAAATTCATAGTATCTGCATATTTATTATACATATCGTTCGTATTTATTGCTGTTACTTCTCTCTGAAATTAGTCTAACTTTATCATTCTTTTTTAAATCAGTGTTTGAGATATTATATTTCAGTCTGATTATATTCTCCGCAATATTGCGATGCTGTTATATATTGCCTGCTCATGTTGCCTGTTATATTGTGATAACAAGTTTACGATCACCCAAACCCCCGCGTCCCCCGCAGGTGGGGTGGTCATCGGGTACCTTGGGGTGCGGGTGTTCTGCCCGCGGCCCGTGGCTTCCGTCATCCAGACGCTGGGGGGCACCTCGGTCATGTTGGGTGAGACGGCAACCCGCGTGTCACCGTGATTCTTTCCTTTAATTCTCTTATCTATTAGAAATTATTTGTAACTCTCAAATTTCCAAACTTGAGGTAATTTTTGCCCATCTCTTCATTCGTATACTTTTTTTTATCTTTTATGCAAGTTTTATTAAAGACCGGAGAGGATTTCTTATTAATGATTTTCTTATTAATTTCCTCGATGCTGCGAACTAGGCTTTTTGCGACATTTTATCTATTATTATTTTATCTATTGATGTGCATTATCGATTATTTTGACCTACATTTCCCATGCCTACCAAACTTCACTAGATGCTCTCACACTATGTACATTGATATGTGCTATACAATAAATTAATGAAAATATATCAAATTATTAAAGCATTGTAGCTTTTTCGGTCGCATTCTGCTTTTGTACGTTCACATTCTACTCGTGCTGTGGGCACGGAAGTGGGTCACTATTTCGACAATATGACACATTCATTTTTCAGAGTGTCAACTCCTCCTCGCACTCAAAACACGAATTGGTCAAAATGTCCAAAAACTGACACTTTTCTCCCACAGCTCAGCCAGAGAGCAAATTTACATTGATACGTTAGTGTACCGGCCATACTGGGTCAAAACGACCCATATTAGTGTGAAAAATATAACTCAGTACTCACTGCAGTGAGTGACAAAGAACGCATTTTCTCGTCGACGAAAACGTGAAGTCACGCACGGACAGACGGACGGACGGACAGACGGACATGGCGAGCACAATCTGGTGCTCGCCATGACAACATGGTGCAGGTCTGGTGGCGATGACGTCAGACGTGGAGACGCTCTACGCCGCCGTCTATAATATAATATAATATAATATAATATTATAATATAATGTTAGTTCATTTAATATAATATATAATTTTATTTCATTTATTATTATATAATATTATAATATAATAATCTTATTATCATGGTGCAGGTCTGGTGGCGATGGCGTCAGACGTGGAGACGCTCTACGCGGCCGTCAAGGCGCTGTCCTGCGTCGTGCGCTCCAGTAAACCTGGTCTGTCGTGCCAGTGATAAGATAGTGATATAGTGATGATATACCTACCGTAGTGATGATATGCTGATACAATAATGATATAGTGATCACAGTAATGATATAGTGATCTCAATGATGATATAATGATCAGAATAATGATATAGTGATGACAGTAATGATAAACCTGGTCTGTCATGCCAGTTATCATATAATGATATAGTGATGATACCTATACTGATACAATAATGATAGGATATAATGATCCCAGTAATGATATAGCTATCACAATGATGATATAATCACAATAATGATATAATGATAAGATTAACTGAAGACATTAACAGCTCGGTGTTTAGCACGAAACTTTTTCTTGTCAATTTGTCGGTATTTATGTTCTACAAAAGCCGTGAATGGAAGGAAGGTTGTTCTGTTTGCAGCGCCGTGAAGGAACGATGAAGTTGTTTTCAGATCTAATAATTAATTATATTATATATATTTATATTGAATTATATATAAGTAATATTTATTTTTTATATATAGGACGAAGAAATGTTGTTCTTACCCTTCTTATCCAATGTGAACAATTGCTGTTCAAATAGCATAAAATACCAGCCTTAATAATACTAATGAACATAAAGAAAAATATTTATACTAATGAACATCACTAATAACACAATTATTAAGAGCTTGAATAAGTATAAAAATAGTTAATAATGATGATATTAAATGGCATGAACAATATAGATGATGACTGTACAGCCCAGGTGAGCATGACCAGGTGCAGCGGGTACCAGATGCTGGGGCAGCTGCTGCGCCGCAAGCTGCACCTGCTCAACACCCACGTGCTGCACCTGTGTCTGGGGCTGGTGACTGCGGGGGACGCCTCCCCCACCACCGCCACGCCCCTCACTTCCCCCGCCATCCCCAACCTCCCCGCCTTCACTGACCTCGTCCTCGACCTCGAGGTGCTCATGCTGTGCCGTGCTGTGTCATGCTGTGCCGTGCTGTGCCGTGCTGTGCCGTGCTGTGGCATGCTGTGCCGTGCTGTGTCATGCTGTGTCATGCTGTGCCGTGCTGTGCCGTGCTGTGTTATGCTGTGCCATGCTGTGTCATGCTGTGGCATGCTGTGCCGTGCTGTGTTGTGCTGTACAATGCTGTGCCGTGCTGCGTCATGCTGTGCCGTGCTGTACAATGCTGCGCCATGTTGTGCCGTGTTTTGTCATGCTGTACGCACATTGTGTGGCTGTGCTATACTGTGCCTGGTGCCGTGCTCTGCCGTGTTGTGTGTGTCTGTGCTGTCTCTGCTGCTGCCACTCTGCCTGTCTGTGTCTGCAACTGACGTGTAAAGGCGACAGATAATCAAATAAATCTTTAATGCCTTCCTGTATATCATGTATGTTCTGTACGTTCCCATATCACATAATGTTCTTGAGTTCATCAAGTGTATTTATAACGATTGGCCCCTATCTCAGCTATGATGCCGCGCCCCAGGAGGCCTATGTAAGAATTTCATTAAAACAAGATAAGATTTTTATATATTTCTTATACGAGTTATGGTATATTTTATGTTCTCAAACTATATTACGTAATATTGTGCAGTATTATGTGTTATTGCGTAATATTGTGCAGTATTACGTGTTATTGCGCAATATTGTGCAGCATCACGTGTATTTATAAGTAATGTTGCCGAAGCTATGGTGCCGCGCCCCAGGAGGCCTGTACATTATAAGAGTTCGGTATATTTCTATACGAGTTATGGTATATTTATGTTGTCATCCTATATTGCGTTATAGTTTATAGTATCACGTGTATTTATAAGTAATATTGCCGCAGCTGTGGTGCCGCGCCCCCGGGGAGCTGTGGAGGTCGCTGCTGGAGTATCTGCTGGAGCTCGCCAAGGAGTCCCCTGATCGACACAGCAACCTCCAGATCATGCGGTGTGTGATGTGTGGTGTTATGTGGTGCGTGTTGTGTGGTGTGATGTGTGCTGTGTGATGTATGTTGTGATGCGTTGTGTGTGGTGTGTGGCGCGTGTAGTGTGGTGGGTGGTGCGTTCAGTGTTATGTGTGGTGCGTGCTGTGTAATATTTACCGGTACCTACCATGATCCGCTTTTAAAGATCTGCATAAGATGTAAATTTTTTAAGGAAGTTTTTTTGTAACTTGAGAAGAATCGAGGTTTTTTCACTTGTAACTTTTTGCTTGTAACTGAAACGAAATGAAGAGAGTAATTAATATATGCAGGTAAAATTGTCCACTTAATGAAGAAAATAATTAATGTATACAGGTAAAATTCTTCACTTAATGATAAGAGTAATTAATATATGCAGGTAAAATTGTCCACTTTATTAATTTCCAATGATGACGTATGAGGGACCGCTATTGTACGTGGCCTGACGTGCTTATTATGTATGCAGGTCGGTGGGTTTAGTGTCGCGCTTCCTGCTGCTGCTCTATGACTTCGTCAGCTGTCGTGAGGGCCTCCCCACCACTAGTGGGCCCACCACCACCACCACCACCTCCCCAGGGGGCTACAGCTACGGTCCGGTCACCTCCCCTCTGCTGCACTCCCTCATGACCGTCCTCCTCGCAGTCAACCCTCGCCCTGACGACCTGCTCAGGTGGCCTTACCTAAGATTTAGTGCCCTTGTTCCGTGCCCTTATCTCGTGCCCATGCTCGTATCTCGTGTCCTGTACCCGTGGCCCATGCATTTGGCCCTTGCCCGTGGCCCTTGCCCATGGCCCTTGCCCTTGGCCCTTGTCCGTGGCCCTTGCTTGTGTCCCTTGCCCCTGGCCCTTGCCCGTGGCCCTTGCCCGTGGCCCTTGCCCGTGGCCCTTGCCCGTGGCCCTTGCCCGTGGCCCTTGCACGTGGCCCTTGCTCGTGGCCCTTGCCCGTGGCCCATGCAAGTATCTCGTGCCCGTGTCTCGTCCCGCGTCGTGCTGCTAATCGTGAGCGCGAGTTTACTTGGTTGCCTTTTATTTTTTCAGGAACTAGCTTTGCCTCCCCTAAATTTTGCGCCCCCTGACTTCATCTCCTCAACTGTACCTCCTCTTCTACAACTCTGGGTTGGAATGACATTGACCCTGCGGTGTTTGGCCAGACCCGATTCCTTTACTAACGGGCTTTGCGTTTTGTACTCAAGTCTTTGATATTTCACTAACTTGTGTTGAGATAAGCAGGCTTAATTACTGTCGACTATCAGGTTTTATTTAATGCTAGCCTAACTCCCGCCCTGTTGTGCAGCTACGGTCAGTTCATTCTGGCGACGCTGCCCCCGCTGAGCGCCTGCGAGAAGGACGTCGAGGTGGACGCTTTCTTGTTCAGTGGGCGCCACTCCAAGGACGGTGGTGGCGAGAACCCAGGGGCGTCTCAGACCCCCAAAACGTCGTCCACACCTGCGTCAGGAGAAGCCCTCAGCTCCAACGGTAGCTGCTCCCCCGTGGGCATCTCTCCCAGAGTCATCGCCCTCAGGAACAAATGCCTCGAAATCCTGCACACGCTCCTCTACAACTCCAACAAGAACACCATCCATCTTGGGTGAGTGTGGCGGGTGAGGGTGAGTGTGGCGAGGGAAGGCGGCCATGACACCATCCATCTTGGGTGAGTGTGGCGGGTGAGGGTAGCCACCACACCATCCAGCTTGGGTGAGTGTGGCGGGTGAGGGCCACCACACTTTACATGAATCAGACTCTATTTCTGAGCCTGAATCTGAGATCATTCACTACATTTGAGTGTTGGGTGTAGATAAAAAAATATAACTCAGTCACTCACTGCAGTGAGTGACAGAGAGCGCATTTTCTCGTCGACGAAAACTTCCGTCGTCTGTCCGTCTGTCTGTCACGGACGAACAGACAGACAGACGGACATGGCGAGCACAATAGGGCTTTTTTCCATAAATGAGAAGATGCGCTAAAAAAAGACTTAGTCTAATTTAATGGAACAACATTTAAGTTATCTTGATTAAATCTTGATTAGAAAAACGTAGTTTAATTTAATAGAACATCATTTATAGTTATCTTGATTAAATCTTGATTAGAAAGACTTAGTTTAATTTAATAGAACATCATTCATAGTTATCTTGATTAAATCTTGATTAGAAAGACAAGAGGGTAAGTTGGGGTCTCATTAGAGGATAAGTTGGGGTCTCATCAGAGGGTAAGTTGGGGTCTCATTAGAGGATAAGTTGGGGTCTCATCAGAGGGTAAGTTGGGGTCTCATTAGAGTGTAAGTTGGGGTCTCATTAGAGGGTAAGTTGGGGTATCATTTGAGGGTAAGTTGGGGTCTCATTAGAGGGTAAGTTGGGGTCTCATTAGAGGGTAAGTTGGGGTCTCATTAGAGGGGAAGGTTGGGGTCTCGTTTGAGGGTAAGTTGGGGTCTCATTAGAGTGTAAGTTGGGGTCTCATTAGAGGGGAAGGTTGGGGTCTCGTTTGAGGGTAAGTTGGGGTCTCATTAGAGTGTAAGTTGGGGTCTCATTAGAGTGTAAGTATAGGTCTAATTAAGGGTCTTTAATTAGAGAATGAGTTAGAGCACATTTCTGCCTACGGTTTATGTCATCGCCAAGCATATAATCCCTGATATTCTTTTAATAATCGTCCTCGTTAACCTTTATTTCTTTAAACAGGGTTCAAACCTTTCACTTTTTTTCATAATTCTCCCAAATACGATATGATGCTCAACGAGAACTTGGAGCATTGGTCAATTCAGTAACCGAGTTCGCGTTCATTGCGAGAACTTATTCGGAAAGTTGAGGTTTTATTTTTATTTTTTTTATACATGGAGGCGGAGTCGAACAAGTTTGTGCACTATGATGTGCAATGTGATGTACAATGTGATGGTCACTGTGATGTGCAATGTGATGTACAATGTGATGGTCACTGTGATGTGCACTGTCATGCACAATGTGATGGTCACTGTGATGTACAATGTGATGTGCACTGTCATGTACAATATCGTGTACAATGTGATGTGCAATGCGATGGGCACTGTGATGTACAATGTAATGTGCACTGTGATGTACAATATGATGTACCATGTGATGTACAATGTAATGTGCACTGTGATGTACAATATGATGTACCATGCGATGTGCACTATGATGTACAATAAGACGCACCAGATGCTCATGACTCCATGGTCACAGTTGCAGTACATCGCCCTGATGCCCGGGGGCGCGCCAGCAAACCTCAACGTCGCGGCCAACGTCTACGCCTACATCGGCTCTGCGCCCCCCTACCGCCGCCTCTCCAGGTGCGGGGGGAAGTTCCGCTCTTACAGATCAATGAATTGCACTCTTTGATATTTGTTGCATTCAAGTTTGTTATTTGTAATATTCATATATTCAATGTACAGGGGATGGACCAAATGAGAGGAACTTATGGAACTTTAACGCATTCTAGTCTTTGATATTTGTTGTAGGTACTTAAATTTGTTATTTGTTATATTCATGTATTCAATGTACAGGGGTTGGAGAATATAATGGGAATACCTGATATTTTGGTATTGTGATTTCTGAACATGTTATAAACAATGAAACCGTGACATGTTTTTATGTTTTGTTGGTTATTGTTGCTGCTAATTGATATTGTATCATTGCACATATATTTTAAGTAAATTTTTGTGTCTATAACCTAACCTATAACCTATAAATTGCAAACATCTCTGGCATTCAAAGAGGCCAATTGTTGATGCCTGTATGGCAGGTGCTAGTGTGACAGAATTTCCCGAATGCTTGACGTTTCAAGAGGTACTGTCTCACAAGTAATGACTGCTTTTGAAAGAGAAGGAAAAAAAGTCCTCAGAATAGCACAGTTGTGGCCGAAAGTCGAAGTTGTCTGAGAGAGACCGTCAGTACCTAAATCAAATTGTGAGAGACAAACTAAAGATCGCGGCAGTTAAAATTACTGCAGACCTTAATGGACATCTACACTGTTAGAAAAAACTGTGAAAAAACGGTCCCACTGGCATTCTAGTGGCTGGTCGCCCCATGAAAATAAACTGTTTCGCCGTTTTTATCAGATGTTTTACGGATTTCTAGTGTTAAATCAGAATAAAAACGGCGACACGGTGTTTCTTCTCACGTGCCGACCGGCCACTGAAACGCCGGAAATACCGTTAACGGTATTTTTTCTAACAGTGTAAAGAACCCAGTTTCCATAAAGCCTGTCTGCCGAGAGCTGCACAGATCTGGATTCTATGGAAGAATTGCAATTAGAAAACCTCTGGTTTCAGGTATAACTGCTTCAAAACGTCTTGAGTGGTGTTAAAACCTTAGGTCTCGAGCAGTCTAAAAATCGTCTCGACCTCGAGACCTAGAATAGATCTCGAGCCTGACTAATCAACGTTTACGTTATTTCCAACCTCTGGCCGAGTTTACGTTTGGAGGCCGCCAAAATGGCCATTTAATCCCGACCGCCTCCTCCCAACCATAAAACATGGCGGGGGATTTGTGATGATCTGGTGTGCTTTTTCTTGGAAATCCGGCGGACCTATGATTTCTCTTCGTGGAAGAATCAACAGCTGTTGCTATATGAGAATTTTGGAGGACCAAATTCATCCAATGGTTTCCGGAGGGAAAGGCCTTCTTTCATTGTGATAATGCCCCGATCCATACAGCTGAAATTGTTAGAAAATGGCACGAGGAACGTTCTTTTTGAAGCTGAACATCTCATTTGGCCACCACAATCACCAGACCGGAAAATTAACTTGTATTTATGGTCGATTTTTGAGATGCAAGTCAGAAGCTGATTCCTGCCGCCATCTTGTTCAAAAGAGCTAAAGGGAGTTTCGAATGGAGAATGGGTTGAAATTCCTTTTTAAACAATTTATAATTTGTATGATTCGTTACCTCGGAGAATTGAGGCTGTAATTACCGGGTAGACCTTCGCCATACCAAAATTTATTTTGTAGAGTTCTCAGGTCTTTCCCAATTGTTTTGTTTCACCCCTGTATGTGTATGTGTTATCTATTGCTGTGTGGCAGGCTGGTGTGGCGGCAGGGCGTCTGCCACCTTCTGGAGGAGGTGCTCTCCCCCGCCGCCGTGGGGCTGCTCCACCAGCTCGGTCCCCACTACACGGGGAGCCTGCAAGCCCCCCAGCTGCCTGGTAGGCTGTTCTAATTAATATCTATATTGCATATATATAATAAACTACTTGATGTCATACGTTGATTTTCTGATAAATGGCAGGGGCAACGGTACTGTATGTATGCCTCCTACCATCAGACTTGTCTTAATTTAATATACATTTAAAACTATATAATTCAAGACATTGTTTGTGATATTTCCTCATAAATGTCACGAAGAACTGCAAGGCAAAATGCATGGGTTATAATATCCAGATACTGACATGTACTTTTTGCACATAGAAGCGATACGCCTATTTGCCGGCTAAATTAGGTCTAGATGACCTAATTTAAATTGTGTCTACATGACGCACACCGAGGCAAGAAATGGATCGATATTTGGACAAAGTGTGACTTATTTCTGTGCGTGCAGGGTGCGAGGCGGGGGCGGCGCTGGTGCTGGAGGAGAAGGTGGTGCTGGGGCTGAACGCCGCGGCGCTGTCGCACTTCACCCTCAGCAAGATACGCAAGTTCTACTCCAAAGTGGACAGCAAGGCCATCGCCAAGCAGGTGAACCTTATCGAAATTATGGTAGGCCTTTTCTTTACAGTTTGCTCCACTCTTTGTGCATTGTCGCCAAGCAGGTCAATTCACATCTATAATATTATATTTATATACATGCCTTTAATGGTTTTGTAGTGATGTCATCGAATTATTTTTTAAATAAATGGAAAACCTGAACTTTGCTTCTAGCGAGAAATTAAATTCAGGTCATTTCACGTCTATATTATATAATATGTATATTTGATGACTCTGTTTATGAGTGTAATGTTGTGCGATTTTATCTTGTGATGTGATATGTTGTGTGTTGTCTTGTCTTTCCCTCATAAATGACACGGACAATTGTGATGATTTATAGTAGATAAGTCTACTTATTATTCCAATATGGCTTCATTCTTGACACATCATTGCTTGCTGTGCCCCACTAACGCCCCCCGTCACATCACAGCTGGGGATGTCATCACACGAGAACGCCACCCCCATCAGGGTGGTGCACAACAGCGCCGGCCACCTCACCGGGCCCGCCCGCACCATGGGTGAGACTTGCACCACTTAAACTGCATATTTATTATTCCTATTTATTGCTGATGCTTTTCTCTGAAATTAGTTTAACCTTATCATTATGCATCACTTACCTGCATATAAGTAATAAAGTCACTTGTTTGCTTTAATCGCAAATTCACTAAAAACTTAAAAGCAAAGAAAACTCTACAAAAATTCATAGTATCTGCATATTTATTATACATATCGTTCGTATTTATTGCTGTTACTTCTCTCTGAAATTAGTCTAACTTTATCATTCTTTTTTAAATCAGTGTTTGAGATATTATATTTCAGTCTGATTATATTCTCCGCAATATTGCGATGCTGTTATATATTGCCTGCTCATGTTGCCTGTTATATTGTGATAACAAGTTTACGATCACCCA